CTAAAATAAATAATTCTAACATTCCTAAAATTCTAAGGCATAATATAATCTTCCTGTTGAGGTCTCATTTGGGGGCCCATTAGGATGTTTTTATTAAACAAAGCTACAAAAGAATTGTAAAGGTACCTATATACTGAGTAAATGGAAAATAATCTAGTTCTGTATTTCTGAAATTTTAATTAGATAAGCATGTAGTTCTCAAAAAATAAAATACCAATGATTTTGCAATAAAGTATTGCAAATTATTTTCCATATAAAAATAATTTGCAATTTCTCCTGTCAAAATCATTAATAATTTATAGGCTAAAATTAGTTATATATTAGATTTCCTGTGCAGTTGGATGTTTATACATCTTTCCCTAATACACATGGTGAGTATTAACCACCAGTTAATAAGGAATAACCTTTTATTCCTACAAGAAGAATTACAAAATAGTGTTTACACTATTTTTATATCTTCAATGCTCCAGTGTATTGGAGTTGGTAGGAATCCAGAAAAGAAATGCTTCATTTAATTAATTATAAAAGGTTTCCAAAAAGAGTATTTGGTAAGATGATGCAGATACAGGTTTTGTGGTGACAGCACTTTTAAAAATCAAAGTAAATAATTTCTTTATATAATTTAGAAAAAAATCAATATAAAATGTAGGTTTTCTGAAAGAGAAATTATGCCCTTTGTTAAAATATTATTTTTAAAGTTCATGATTTAAATACAACTCCAAATCTAGTCTCTGTAGCAGAGGGATGAGACAAATGGAATCTCTATCCAAAGCAATGATAGCTATATTTTAAAATATCCATAGTTCATACTTTTAACAACATTATAGCCAGTAAGTGAATGTATTTCATTTTGATGATTTCATATATTGCATTAATGAAAAATTGAGGCCTATTATCTTAGGATCTAAAATATTGTGTAATTACAAGTTTTATGCCAGCTTTCAAGTAACTCAGTTTTTCAAAGATAGTAAAGGGAAAAGGATCTGAAGTAGACAGACAATCTCTCCCGTAACAATGAGGGAAAGTAATTCAACTTAACAATCTGGTTTTCTCCCTGAAGAGCTGCATGATCAATGAGAAGCACCGGACTGATTCTATATTCTCTCTGCTTATGTATGTTTTTAACATCCTCTGGAGTAAATATACTGGCGGTAAGCACACAGTACTTGGGAGAAAATGCATATTGTAGGACACTCTCTAGGCTCTCCATAGTGACTAAAAGCAAACATAATAAAACAACCTGCCATAAATTCAGTGCTTCTCCATTTACCTAGTCTTCTGTGAGTACTTTAAAACATGCAAATCGTATTCCAATGCATTCTTAAAGTTGGACCCAGATTACATAAAAGAATACCAGGATAATAAAAATCTTCATAGGCTTTACTTGCAAATATTGAAGACTAAAGATAGGCAGTAAACTACTACAACGATATAACGTCATGGATTCCTCTTCCTAACATGCTGGTTCCAATAGCTACTAACTACTAGAACTTCCTGTGGTATTCAAGTCCTCCAAGATTTTCTGACTACATTAATACCACACGCTTGTCTTCCTGGTAATTCTGCAACAGCAGTGTGACACTCCAGGCAAAGCATTCCATAGGGTTAGAGCAAGGCTTGAGGGAACCAGAGGAATGCAATCATCACCCACAAATACACCATCTGCTGTGTCTTACTGCTTAATTAAACTAAAACTCGTAGGGTCTTAACTCTCACAGCTCATAAAAATAAAGGTCACAAAAGAGTATTAGCCCTATGGATCATTCACATAACATACAGCTGCTAACGTATGTTTTGCCAACCTATCACTCAAAAAACAAAAAAGAGAAAGAAATACATCTAGCTGATGTCAAAGTATAGCACCTCTATCAGTCTATTAGAACAATGACAGGATAGCTGAATTGCGTAAACACTATTCCATTCTTGCCAATTGTTCTTTACTTCTCTCTTATAGCAGTTTGCAAAAAAATTCTTCCACACATTATAAGACCACTCATGAATTAGTTTGTTATATCCATTTATATCCCTCCCTTCCTCCTTCCCTCCTCCCTTCCTTCCTGAACCATTTTTCAAGGACTTTCTTACGTAAGGCACTGTGTTGAGTACTTTGGAAGATACAAAGATGAAAGAGACTCATACTCTGAGTATGTACAGCTGCTAATGACTCCAGTATATGTGTGTATAATAACTTTATTGAAATATAATTCATATACCATACAATTCACTCAGTTCAAGTATACAATTCAATGCCTTTTTGTATGTTCAGAGTTGTGCAACTATCACCACTATCTGATTTCAAAACATTGTCTTTATATCACAAATAATTTTACACCCATCAGCAGCTACTCTTGCTCTGCTCATCCCACAGCTCCTAGAAAACCACTAATCTAGTTTTTGTCTCTATAGCTTTGCCTATTCTGGACATTTCATATAAATGGAATCAAACAATATGGGGCCTATGGGCTTCTTTCACTTAGCATAATGTTTGCAAGGTTCACCCAATGTCACAGCGTGTATCAGTATTTCATTCTTTTTTGTTGCTAAGTAATATTCGCTTGCATGGATATACCACATTTTGTTCATCCATCAGTTGATGAGCATTTATTTGGGTTGTTTCCATTTTTTTGTTATAATGAATAATGCTGCTATAAACATACATGTTAATGCTTTTATGTGGACATATGCTTTAATTCTCTTGGGCATATATCTAAAAGTATAATTGCTAGGCTGTATGATAATTAATTCTATGCTTAAATTTTGAGAAACTGCCAAGCTGTTTTCCAAATCAGGTACACTATTTTACATTATCACAAGCAAGGTATGAGGATTCCAATTCCTCTACATTCTCATATCCTCAGCCAACACTTAGTACTGCCTTTTCTTTTTTTTTGGTCCCCCTAGTGGCTGTGAAGTAATATCTCACTTTGACTTTGATACGCATTTCTCTAGTAACTATTAATGTTGACTATCTTTTCATGTGCTTATTGTACATTTATATGTGTTCTCTGAAGAGATGCATTATATATTTTGAGCAACTTTTAATCAACCATTTTGTAGAAATATATGAAGTATTGTAATTGTAATCTTCCAGCACCAATGTGTGATATTTTCCAAAACACTAATATTTTCTTACCCTTAGGTTCCTTAGAAGCTTAAATTTTTAACACAAATGTTTAAATACAGAGAAGTCTTAAAATTTGATAGTGTAACTTAATGGGGGCGATGTGGGTTGGTAGGTAAAATTTCAATTGACTCATTGGTTCTTTCCAGCTAATAGCCCACTTCCCAAATCTACTGGAAATCAACTAATAAGAATTTCTGAAGAATATAAATGACTTGGAAGTAGTTGAGTTATGGGAAAGTTAAGAAGATGAAGCGATAGTAAAAAAAAAAAAAAAAAAGAAACACAAATTCAGCTTCAGAACAAGGAAGTTCAAGAATGTTATAGAACAAGCAACAAAACTTGGCAGATTCAGACTTCAACAATGGTGAGGTTTTGAAGATAACTAAGGGTTATTTCTTAGGTAAGTGAATAAATTATGGTGTCAGTAGCCCAGAAGAAGAGGAAGGAAGGGGTAGGAGGGGAGCAAAACAAAATGCAGACCCACTGAAAGAGGAATAATTATGTGGTGGTGGGTTTTGTTCCTCTTTTAAGAGAAAAGATTTGTAAAAGAAAAAAAAAAATGGGATCGATCCAATCTGAGCCACAGTGGCTTTGGTCTGGGATATCTAAATTGGCATCCCAGGGCAGAAGAGGAGAGAGCCAAACATAGAACCCAGTAAGATGGAGCTCCGAAGAGGGTCTGGGTTAGAGACCCTTGTGGGAAAAGAAAGAGCTGCAGTCTGTTCCCACAACAAAGAGAAAAGCTCTACATTGTTCTTACCTCCTTTCAAGCCCAATCATTCTAGTTTGAAACAATGGGGAACTTAATTCTGTTATATAGTTATGAGATACTGATGAACGAAAATAATTGGTCTTACATCTGTACAAGTAATCACATGCCTCCCTTTAGTCTTCTCTCTTTTCTGAGCTGAACCATGCACCTAAAACTTTCTTTGCTGTGCAGGTTTTTAAAATTTGTAACATTTCTCTCTAAATAAGACAAATAAAAACAAAGCAAGCAGCATCTGCAATAAACATGGAGCTTTGGATGCTACATTTTGTACAAGTAACAAAAGAAGGGAAAACTGTGAAGCAGTCAGCAGTACCTTTACATGCAATATATGCTGGGGCCTTCGATCGATAACTCTGCTTTTTATTGTTGATGTGTCGGTGGAAAAGCTGCATGACAGCAGAAACAGACAGACCTTACAAAGCAATTAAGGGTGAGGAATCTCCTGCCAAACAGCTAGTACAGACGTAACCTTTTTCCACAGAGCTTAGCTTCATTCCATGGCCAAGAAGCAGCTTGATAAATACTATCTGATGAGCAAGTGATCAAATTTACAAAAACTAAAGATGAAGAATGACCAATGGGAGAACCCAGGTGCTATGGAGAGAGGCTGAACTGGTTTCTGTGCTTCGTGCTTCCTGTAGGTGGCGCCAAACTCCTTGAAGAGGAAACAAAACAAAGTTAAAAGGCTGGTGGTGTATGTGTCTATATTGAAGCACTTAAGTATTTGTTTTAGAGTCCGCATTGTTGTTTTCAAGGCAGCTTTTCTTCACTGGTATTGGCAAGCTTTAAATTTCAGAAGTTATTCACCTACATTATGTTATTTACGAGCTTCTTTTTTGCCAAGTGCCCAGCCTCACATTAACCGTTACGTCCAGCCTCCCTGCATGGGTCAACTGTGTCCATCACATGAATGGAAGGTTCACTGCAGCATCTATTAAAAAGATTTTCAAAAGTAAAATAGCATTTTAAAGCCATTTAGGATCCCTTAAGTTGAGATCTGTAGTAGGAAATTGTACAAAACTGCTATTTACATACATCAACAGGAAATAACCCCATTTCTGGTACCCACAATAGCCACAGGTAACCAACAATAACTTGGATTACCTTCTTCAAAGGGCTCTCCCACCCCTATGTGCTCCAGATCTTTCAGGCCTTGTGGTAAAGGCTTCAACTTCCAGAAATGCACCTCAGACATGCATCTCCTGGTGGTCCTGCTCTGGGAGGCAGCCGTGGATCAGATGTCAGTGAGTCCTCAAAAGGGTCCTTGCCAAGAAGCAGTAGGAAGCAGCAGGGAGATAGGAGGGCTGGTCAAGTTGGACTAAAAGGAGCATGAAGAGAAAGAAGTGTGTGTCTGAGCGCACAGACAGGCAAGCGAGAATTAGGTGTTTTGTCCCAGGTTTTCGCTATCATTCTCTAGATCTGATTTTTATAACAAACATTTCCTGCCAACCTCCTAAAATTTTTAAACAGCAGCGGCCAAGACTGACTTCCATTCAGCACAATTATATAAGACCGAAGAGTGCATTGCTCTCATTTTTGGAGCTTTGTTTTAAGCTCCCTCATTAATCTTTCAGTTCTTTCCCATCTCTGCCTGACTACAACTGCCCTGAATTTATCCAAGCCTGCAGTATGCCAGCCTCACTGGTGTCTAAATCACCAAGAGCTGAATACACATTCAACTCATGGGACTCTACAGTTCCATAAGAAAGAGCCAATCACAGCTTAGGAGAAGTCAACCTCTTTTTAATTGTATTCTATGATACTAACAGGCATTCATTACACATGGACCTTAAAACAAGATTTGCTCTTGGCTGCTCATAATTGTATTTCTACAGCAGTTTAAACCGTTGGCACCTGCAATTGCTAGAAGGCCTAAGCTAAGAATTTCTATTATCCCAGTTTCAAGGGTTACATTTAAAATAAAACTCAGAGGGGCAAAACATTACATGCACACATATTTACACAAATTAAATACTATGCACAAGTCAATACCTTCTGCACACAAAACTACATTAAACTCAATTAGCCCTAAGCAAAACTACAGGAAGCAGTTTTTCCGTGAACCAATGAAGCTGTTCTGTATAATAAAGAATAGAAGGACAGCCAGACTACAGAGTTCTGCAGAACTGTCAATAAATGTTTTTAAAAGTCATCAATACTGATTTTTAAATTAATTAATGTAAATGAAATTGACATAAAACAATCCAACTCAAGGAATTTATACACAAATAACCTTTGACTTCTGGGTTCTAATAAAGAAGGGCTTTAAAAAAAGGCATATCTTGGGGGTGGGGGCTGGTGATAGAGGAGAGGGTTTCCAGAAGGGCAGTCCTATGGGCCACAAAACAGTCACCAAACTAAAATACACTTTCCTTCCTGTTATGGTTTCCTACTTGATTATGACCAAAATTAAATTATACAAATATTTCACCAAATATCTTCTCAAACATTATAAATATTAATATAAATGTAATCTCCAATGTGCCCAGCATTTAAAACTCCATTTAAACATCTTGGAAACTAATTTAAGATTTCCATCTAGAATACAAATTCACAAGTTTCCCTTCCTAGTTCTTTTTTGCTCAGCACCCATATTTGCACATTTACTACCGAATGTCAGTTGGTAGCACTTAACGATGATGAATATTAAAAGCATGCTTCTGTCTGCTAAAATATTAGATCCCGGAAACCACTGAATTTGTCATAAGCTACAATTTCAGTGAACAAACTACTGCCTTTAAGACACCAAAACCTTCTGTAAACTCCCAAATTGTGAAAAGGGTAAACAGAGAGTGAAATTTTACTATTAATACAACAACTGAGGAGTGCACAAAAGTAAAATCTGTTTAAAAACTAACCACATCTTACAGTACTATTGGACTATGCTTTCTAAGTATTTTCTTAGAGAACTGCATCTGAACAATGAATAATAATAATAATGTTAGTTACTATTAACTGAATAGACATTATGTGCAGGGTACTGAGGAAAACATTTTACATATATACACACATGCCATTTTTATATACATGCTATCTTACCTACACGTCATCTTTACATACATACTATCTTATTTGCATATATGCATACTATCTTTACATACACAATATCATATCTAATTTTCTACTCCATGAGGTAAGCAGTATTGTTATCCCTAGACAGATTAGATGACTTATTTGAGGTCATAAGCAAATGAAAGATTGAGGAATTCCAACTCAGGTTTCTCTCTCTAATCCCTTATATATTACTATGCAGACAACTTCATGGCAGGAAAAACCTCCTGAAGGGCTGGTATTTACTGGATACTGCTCACTCTATTGAGTCCGGGAGTTTAACACTTATTTATTTTACATTTGCATTAAGAAGGCCTTCTCAAATACAAATCATGTTTCAGCAGAGATCCATTCATCCAGAAGACTGAACAAAAGCGCACCTTTGCTTAGAATACATAAGAGATTACTGTTGTTATTATTATTATTTTTACTTAATTAAAATGGCTTGTTAGGATCACCTACTTAGCATATGGAAGACCAGCTGGTTTACTCTGTCAAATCTCTGCACAACATACCTGTTGGTACCCTACTGCCTAGCATGGAACAGCAGAGTGGGTAAGTGCGGGTGAACAGTCACTGGGATTGTGCTCCGCAGCCTGAGTTCAAAACACAGCGCTACTGCCCCGGCCAGTTTGGCTCTGTTGATTGGGCATGCTCCTGCAAACCAAAGGGCTACAAGTTCGATTCCGGGTCAGGGCACAAGACTAGGTTGCCGGTTTGGTGCCTGGATGGGGTGCACACGAAAGGCAACTAATCAATATTTCTCTCTCACATTGATATTTCTCTCCCTCCCTTCCCCTCTCTTTATCAATAAGCATGTCCTTTGGTCCAGGGGGGTGAGGGGTGCAGAAACAGCGCTACTTCCTACCAGCCTCCTGACCAAGCCTTGATACCTTTATTTGTAAAATGAAAACATAGGTACCTAGTTCACAGATTACCGAGATTAAATGAAACGATGCACATAGCGCCAGGAACATAGTATGCACTCAATAAATGCTGGTATCTTTCTTTGGGTGTCAGGTTATATCATTTTTACTGCTTCCTTAGATGCTATATAGTTCTTTAGTTTGTCCACTAAGAACTGTTTTACAAGCAGTAAGTACTTTTTCTACTCAATTTTATGCCATCAGCCCCACAGCTTTCCAAATCATTCTAAATTATCTTTCCATTTCTCTGAGTTTAGATTCAAACTTTTTTTTCCCAAATTATATACTAAGATTTTTCTTTAGTTGATTTTCTTAGTTGCTTAATCACTTCTATTGACCTCTGATTTTCTACCAGATTGGACAAATCTTTCTGATATGACAACATCCAGGACAATGTGAATTAACCTTTTGAGAGCCTAAAAATTGGGACTTATTTAAGTTCTGGTTTCTGCCTCCCCAGCACTTACCAATATGTTCATTACTGCATACTAATCTCAACATTTTCTCCATGCCTTACATCATGACAGATGTTTTGTCCAGATCTTTGAATCAATTTTCTTTCTCTCTTATAACAAGGCAGGAACAATGAGATTACTCCTAAAGTTGTTCTTTGTAGATAAAATTACATTTTCCAAGTATAGAGTTAGTTAATCTATATTTGTGTTCATTCACCCCCTTAACAAATATTTTTTTAGTGCCTACTATGTGATATAACAGATGGACCATACAGTTTTGCAAAAACAAGATGATATCTTAGGTGCTAAATTCTGTTATCTGTCTATATCACATAAGTTGCTTAAAAAGAGTATTTAAAATTTTTATTTGTATTTGAAAAAATAAATTAAAATTAAATTAAAAAGTAAAATAAAATTTTTAAGATTCACATTAAAAGAGAGAGAGAGATAGGACCCAAATAAATAAGATCAGGCATGAAGGAGAAGTAACAACTGACACCACAGAAATTGTAAGAAAATACTATGAACAGTTATATGCCAAAAAATTTGACAATCTGGAAGAAACAGATAAATTACTAGAAACACACAATCTTCCATGGCTGAATCAAGAAGAAACAGATAATTTTAATATACTGATTATGACCAGTGAAATAAAAAACTGTCAACAAAGTCCTGAACTGATTGGCTTCAAGTGAATTTTACCAGTCAGAGAAAAACTAACACCTCTCTTTCTCAAACTATTCAAAAACATTCAAGTGGACCTAAGCTCATTTTACAAAGTCAGCATTATCCTAATTCCAAAACCAGATAAAGACACTACAATGAAAGAAAATTATAGTCCAATATCCCTGATGAACATAGATGCCTAGTCTTCAACAAAATATTAGCAACCCAAATTCAGCAATATTTTATAAAAGTCATACACTGTGATCAAGTAGGATTTATTCCTGGGATCAAGGTTGATACAATGATCTACAAATCAAAGTAAAACGTCACATAAACAAAATGAAGAATAAAAATCATATGATCCTATCAATGCATGCAAAAAAAAAATGGGACTACACCAAACTTAAATGTTTTTGTACAACAAAAGACACCAACAACCAAATGAAAAACCACCTTACTGAATGGGAGAACATATTATTCACCAATGGTACATCTGATAATGGTTTAATGGGCAATATTAAGAAAGAACTCATACAACTCAACACCAAAAGGACAAAAGGTCTAATTAAAAAATGGGCAGAGGACTTGAATAGACACTTTTCCAAAGAGCACATACAGATGACCAATAGACATAAAAGACAGTCAAATTAAAACCATGATATCAGCTCACATCTGTCAGAACTGCTATCATCAACAAATCATCAAACAATATGTGTTGGCAAGGATGTGGAGAAATGGGAACCCCTAGGCATTGTTGGTGGGGATACAGATTGGTGCAGCCACTGTGGAAACCAGTATAGGGATACCTCAAAAAATTAAAAATGGAACTGCTTTATGACCCAGCAATGCCACTTCTGGATATATACGCAAAGAAACCCAAAACACTAATTTAAAAGAATATTTACACCCATATGTTCATTGCAACATTATTTACAATAGATATGGAAGCAACCCAAGTGCCAAAAGTTTTATATATATCATATATATAAATGAATATATGTAAATGAATATATAAATGAATATATACATACATGAATATTCCTCAGTCATAAAAAGAATGAAATCTTACCATTTACAGCAGCGTGGATGGACCTAGAAAGTGTTATGCTAAGTGAAATTAGTCAAAGAAAAGAAAAATACCATGATTTCACTTATATATCGGATCTAAAGAGCAAAATAAATGAACAAACAAAATAGGAACAGACTCATAGATGCAGAAG